AATAGAACTTTACAAGAAATGATAAATTGTATGCTTAATAATGCTAAGTTACCTTTAAATTTATGGGGAGAAGCTTTGTACACAGCATGTTATATTCATAATAGGATTCCCTCTAAAAAGTCAAATATAAGCCCTTATGAGTTATGAAAAGGTAGAAAACCTAATCTGTCATATTTTAAAGTGTGGGGGTGTTTGGCTTATTATAGAGTTCCTGATCCTAAAAGAACAAAACTTAGAGCTAGAGCCTTTAAAAGTGTTTTTGTCGGATATGCTAAAAATAGCAAAGCATATAGACTACTTGATTTATCTTCTAATACTATTGTTGAATCTAGAGATGTTGAATTCTTTGAAAATAAATTTTCTGTAGATTCTGAAAATGTTGAAAATGTTCCTATTCTGCTTAACTCTAATAATATTTCTAGTTCTGATTTTCATGCTAAGGAAACGAATACATCTAAAGAAACATCAGAGCCAAGAAGAAGTACTAGAGCAAGAAAAGAGAAATCTTTACCTTCAGATTTTATTTCTCCTGAACAAATTATTTTTCTTGTTGAAGGTGATAGGAATAATAATGTTTTAAATAAACATCCTATAAGTTTTAATCCAGATGATGATCCTAAAACCTTTATAGAAGCAATATCGTCTAGAGATGCTTCATTTTGGAAAGAAGCTGTCAATGATGAAATGGATTCTATAATGGGAAATAGGACTTGGATTTTAGTAGATTTACCTCAAGGATCAAAGGCAATAAGATGTAAATGGGTTTTTAGAAGAAAATATCATTCTGATGGTTCTGTTCAAGCTTTTAAGGCTAGATTAGTAGCCAAAGGGTTTAGAGAAAAAGAAGGCATAGATTATTTTGATACATATGCACCTGTCGCACGTATAACATCTATTAGAATTCTTTTTGCTTTGGCATCTATACATAAGTTATTTGTGCATCAAATGGATGTCAATACTGCTTTTTTAAATGGAGATTTAAATGAGGAGGTTTACATGGAACAACCGGAAGGCTTCATTCTTCCAGGAAATGAAAGAAAAGTATGTAAACTAATTAAATCTCTTTATGGTCTTAAACAAGCACCAAAACAATGGCATGAAAAGTTTGATTCTGTTATTCTGTCTTATGGTTTCAAACATAATAGTGCTGATAAGTGTATTTATTCTAAATTCACTGATAAATATGGTGTGCTTGTCTGCTTGTATGTGGATGACATGTTAATATTCGGCACTAATACGATTGGTATAAATGAGACTAAAGAGTATCTATCTTCTATGTTTAATATGAAAGATTTAGGAGAAGCGGATACTATTTTAGGGATTAAAGTTAGAAAATATAGTTGGAGTTTTTCTTTGAGCCAATCACATTATATTGAATAAATAGTGAATAAATTTAATCATCTTGGTTTTAAAGAAGTTAACACTCCTTTCGATCCCAGTGTTAAATTGACTGCTAATTCTGGTAGAGCTGTAGCACAGCTTGAGTATGCTAGTGCAATTGGTTCTTTAATGTATGTCATGCATTGTACTAGACCTGATATTGCATTTGCTGTATGCAAATTAAGTAGATACACTAGTAATCCAAGTGTAGAACATTGGAAAAGCATTTCCAGGATTTTTGGATATTTAAAGAAAACCAAAAATCTGTGTTTGTTCTATAATGATTATCCGGCTGTATTAGAGGGATACACCGATGCAAACTGGATGACTAGTGTTGGAGACAACCAATCCACTTCTGGAATGGTTTTTACACTTGATGGAGGAGCGGTTTCTTGGGCAAGCAAGAAACAAACATGTATCTCACACTCCACTATGGAATCGGAATTCATTGCTTTAGCAGCAACTGGTAAAGATGCTGAATGGATTAGGAACTTATTGCTAGATATTAAGTTATGGCCGAGTCCAATGCCTCCTATCTCTATCTATTGTGATAGTCAAGCCACTTTGTCAAGGGCTTATAATTGTACATATAATGGTAAGTCTAGACACATAAGTCTAAGACATGAATATGTGAGACACTTGATACAAGATAGTGTCATAACTATTGTCTATGTCAAGACAAATAAAAATTTGGCTGATCCATTTACAAAACCTCTAGCAAGAGAGGTAGTAAAGATGACATCAAGTGAAATGGGGCTGAAACCTTATATTTAAGATCACCAGGAATGGTAACCCAACCATTTACTAGAACTAAACTGGTTAAATGGTTTAAATGGGTAATAACAAGTTTCTAAAAGTGATTGATTGATATTGACGCATTAAGCCCTAAAAGATAATGTCAATATCGTCCATTACAGAATAAGAGGATGAGTTATGCTCTTAATGAAAGTCTAATATATTATTCTTGTGTGTTTAAAGTAATGGAAAACACATTGTAGACGTTTCACCTATATGAACTTAGAAGTGGTGTCGCTTCTTAAAAGAGCTAAAGGTTTGTTCTTTAAAGAGTTCATGAACCAGGAATAAGCACAAGGCCATAACAGTGCTAAAATATTAATTCTCATTGAAACAAGAGATTAGTGTATGTACAATATTCTCCGGTTCTATCACAAAGAGTAATTAGTTTAATGTTAAGGCAACTAACGACTTTGATAGAACTTTGAGGTATTTGTACTAAGTAAAGGTTTAAATCGAAAGATACCTCTACATATGTATACTTATCTCATTTTGTACATATTGCAGATTATTTTTAAATATAATACTATTAAAATGTTTTTTCAAACAAAGTGGGGGATTGTTAGTATTTGTTTGTAAAAAACAAGATAGTCCCACATTGGAATTTTGAACATTCTTTTAGAGGTTTAAAAGCATTGAATGCTTATTGGGCTTTGAATAATGGATCAAAGTGTAGGCTTCTAAACCCGCGTGCGGGTAGCGCGAATAATGCGCGATTTTGACGCGATTATTAGACGCACTTAGCACTTTGCACGCTTGCCGCTGCCGCTTAAATGTTCTATTTTTTATATATATAATTATATATTGAATATATTTTATTTTAATGTTATTTTGAATTTTATGAAAAGACAAGTGACTGTTGAAAAGTGGCTGTTTGTTCCAAGGGGTGTTTTGAAAAGTTGTGACTGTTGGAAGCACCTTTGCAAAACTATAAATAGTTTATGTTTTCAGATATCTAAAAATAATAATAAATAGTTTATGTTTTCAAAAACTTCTGCAATATTACAAATTTGTTTCACAACGAATTAAGGAAAATTCCAGATTTGCTTACTGGAATTTTCCTTTTCTGTTGTATACTGGGAAGAAAATTTGCATTAACCCGAAGCAACTTTGAATATCAAGTGGGGGCAAATATTTTTTTAAGGAAAGTGTTTCACGCCTCAGAATTTCTGTCTCCTTCAATTTTAAAACTAACAGTAGCACTTGAAACTAGCGCAAAGAAATCAATGTCACTTCGCATGTTTTGAGTTGTGTTTGCCAAACCCGTTGCTCGAGACCGTTAACCTCTCCGAGATCCAACAGAAAGGATTGAATAATTCCTCGTGGAACCTTAGAGAATGATTTTGATGCATTATTCAGTGACAGATGAGTACAGCACCATATCCAATTATAGACGAAGTCAGAAGTTTAGGATGTTAGATATGCATCTAGCTCCCTGGAGCAACAGAGACACTTTCACCTATTCCTCGTCGTTAATCCATGAAAAGTGAGGAGGAAGAACAATTGCTCTTTCAAGCCAAAAAAACAATTAAACCTTCCCCAAATCTTTTGCAATTTAGATCCCCACAGATTAAAATTTTGGGTTAAGAGTAACATGATCGTTGAGATGTTGAGACGCCATGAAACCACAATAAACCATCTAGAATGCGTTACTAAATCGGTGGGCTGGGTATATGCTCCCACAGTAAACGTAAACATCTAGGCCGCAAGGTATTAGATTTCAGAGATGTTGTTCAACATTTCCGCAACAACTGCACTCACGTTCGACTATGCTTCGAAACAATACAGCCCAACGCGTGGATACAGAGTTCACAAAATGCAAGAGATGGTTGTGAAGATTAACAAAATACGTGAATTCATGCGAAAACGTGACATGAGGGTAAAACAAGAAATGCCAAACAGAAACCGTGTACGTAAAACAAGAAAGATAAAATATACGTTGCATAAATGTAATATGATCATGAAATAAGAATGCCTCTCCAATCACAACGGGGGCATACAAGCTGACGATGGGTATCAACCAAAACTTGACAAACTCCAATATCCTAACCAGCATTGAACCCTCATCTTCTTCTATCAAATACTGGCGAGCAACGGGCTGTCTAAGAGAGTTCACTCAATAACTAAAAAGTTGTAACCCATCATTAGCCGCAAAACAAGAACAATTGCAGAGCAAAAATGACAAATTACAAGAGTGAATCCAACCACAGATACCTTAGCCCTTCTAAGAACTTTTTAACGGGAACAATTGTAAAATTCGCCAACAAACTCAAGGCAACATCCATATATCTACACATAACATTCAATAATCCATCTACCCCTTCAGGTCCTTTCACTCATCAGAATTCACCCATATACAGTGCCGGACCCCCAGTGTTTAACTACAAGAAGGTATTACCTGAGCCCAATGAGTGACGTCATTGCACAACATAAGAAACATCTGCTCTTCAATGGAAACTACAAGAAGGCAAAAGTGGGGAGCAGACCGGCATCGCAAGAACAACATAATAACGGGGCCAACTATTCACACTCCCAAACAGTAACTCTGGGGGTGTGTGAGGACTAAATTGTCCTTCTCCCAAACCAAACCAGGCCAAGTCCAAAAGGGCATTTTCGGCAATCCAACTCCCAAAGTTACTGTTTGGGAGTGGATATAGCAAACATGTAATCTAAGGTAGCTCAGTATGAGGCAAGGGAATGACAAATCCGATTCATGGTTCATAGATTGCTTAAGAAACCACAACAATTTCATCTATAATGCCTTAGCAGGTAGCCAGCAACAAAAGATAAGATGGGTAGGGATCTATGAGCAATTGAAAACAATATTGAAATACAAAGCACCAATAAGCAATATATATAAGAGTGACCCCCCAATTAAAGATCTCTCAGACGTTCCGAGTACAATTTTATGAGACCAATTGTCAAATTGATCAATAAACTCAAGAAAAATCAAAGTAATCAAAACCCCAACAAGTCTTCCCCTTCACAGATCCCTGACAAGCCTCACCGGTCAGCACTGCCCCCAAAATAAAATCCAAATATTAACTTCAATCACAGATATGAACTCCAACTTCAACGGTAAGACAATAAATAACTCCAGTAATACACACTCATGGATCTCGTTGAAAACATAACAGTACACAACTCAAATTACGATTAAATTTCCTACAAATATTAATTAATTAATTACTAATTAAGCCTGGCAGTTCTATTTCTTGGTGGTTGATTTGTTGTCCCCTCCTCCTCCAGAAGATTGAGCAGCCTTTTTAGCTGCCTTTTCCTGCAGCGCTTTCGCATCCCTAAATAATTAAAATATAATATGACTTCAATAAATAAGAATATTTGGAGATGAGATTAAATTAGGGTTTACTAATAATAAAAAGATAATACCTTTCTCGACGCTGTTCAGGAGTGAGGCCGTCGTCCTTCCCCTTGCCCTGCTTGTTACGAGCCTGGGCTCTCTCTCGATCCCGATCCCTTTGACTACCGCGTATTCATACCGAATTAAGGACTTAATCCTCTAACAGATCAAATCAAGCAAAAAAAAAAGAAAAAAAATATATACATAAATCAAGAAATAATTGAAATCAGATGGGTAAAAAGCCAAGGATTTTGTGTTAAAAGGATATGAGTCATCCTTCTCCCCTCTCTCTCTCTCTCTCTCTCTCTCCCCCCGTTTCACAAAAGCCCCGACTTCTGTGCGTGATGAAGAGGCGAAGACCAAGAGGCGAATTTATAGAATAGAATAAACAAAATTAGAATTATTTTTAACTGGTTTTTAACATATATCCCCAACATTTTTTGGGTTATTTGCATATATAGCCCTCGCATCATGTGTATTCACAAAACTACCCTCCAAATCCTCGCATTTGCAAGACTAAAGATGAAATCATCAGCTTTGGTAAAAAGTACCCAAAATAAAGTTGAAAATTGAATGATTTGGTGTATTTTCTTTCCAAAATAAACAATTTGAGGAATAGTTTTGCAAATACTAATATTTGATAGGTTATGTTGCAAATACCCACAATTTAAGGTGTACCTGTGAAAATAACCCAAGTTATTTCCTAAGGGGGTGTTTGGTTGCATTGTTTTTGAGAAATGTTTTCTCAAAAGTACTGACGCATGGCATTTATGTAATTAAGAGTTTTCTATACATTTCTATAAAATGTGTTTGGCTCCAAAAAAATTTACAGAAATGTTTTCTGTAAAGTGCCCAAAAGTACCAAATTTTATGGAAATTGATTTCCTTCTAAAATGGGAGGAAATCTCTTGGAAATCTCTTAGAAATCTGACGCATTCATTATTTAAATAATAAAACCCATTAACTCTTTTCTATAAAGTTCTCACTTTTCTATAAAGTTGGTGGTGTTTGGTTACATTTCTATAAATTATAGGAAATGTTGCTATTTTCCCAAAAGTTATTTCTCATTTTCTTGTTTTGAACTAAACAAGCACAATACAAAAAATAAGAAAATTTAAACTTTTTAACTTCTCAAAACTTTTCCTATAATTTTTTTAAAAAATACAAGGAAATCAAATTTGGGATGGAAAACATTTCCTATAATTTATAGAAATGTAACCAAACACCCCCTAAGGTTATAGAGTGACAACATTTTACCAAAAGAGTTTAACCGAGTTAGAATGCGACCTATGAATAGTATGTTAAGATTCCAAGATGACTCTTTTAGAAAGCACCGTTGGAGGTGCTCCTCAGCCAATCTTGGGAGTTTGCTATAAAAAAAAGAGTGAGAACATTTTAATTATTATTTGACCCTTCCAATAATCATACATAAATATAAAAACAAAACATTTTAGGATTAACATGATTAAGTTAAGTAATTAACATATTAATTGATGCTATGTAAATAAAAATTGGTAAAAGTAGGTTTACAGAGACTATGAATGAAAGATAAATAATTTAATAATATAAAAATATTTAAACTAATTATTTTGCAAGTTTAATTAATTTGGCTAGGGCTAGAAGAATATTTTCAACGAACTTCATTAGAAGTTAGGATGGAATGCAACTGACGATTGACTAGAATAAATAAGAAACCAAATAACAATTATGATGATTTAGTTTACAGTTCTAGTTAAAATACTTAAAATGTGAAGGAAGTATTATGAAAAGCTCATTCTAAATAATCAAAGGGATAGTTGTTGAGAAAATTCTTATATTGGGTTGATTACATATTAGTTCCTTACATCTCGTAATTACTAATTAATTTTTCAATTCTCAGTGTTTGTCAATTGTTCTATCAAATCTACAATTTTAATGCATTAACGTCCCTCTGGTAGCCTCCTTATTATTTTCTCTCACCGTGATTTAGGGGCCGTTTGGTTCAATTTCTATAAAAAAGAAGAAAGAGGAAAGTACTCAAAATTTAATTTCCTTGTATTTCTATAAAATTTGTAGGAAAAATTTATAGAACTCAAAGAGTCATATTTCTTATTTTTTGTTATTTCTTTGTTAGGTTCAGTATAAAAAAGTTCCTAACTTTATAGAAAATATGTTGTTTTTTTTTTTTTTTGTTTAGTTGGATATCACTTTATACAAAATAGTTTACTAATAATGCCTATGGGAAATCACACGGGAATAGTACTAGTGTACTTAATTAATTTAATTTTTTAATATATGTAGAATTCTAAATTGAAGTTTACTAATAATGCCTATAAATCTAACTTTTTTACTTAGAAATTTTTGGTCCCACTTTTTGGAATAAGTGTAGTTTAAACCCACTAAGAAAAGAATTAATAGAATTCTAAATGGGAATATGACAGTTATAAACTTCATTTTTAACAGAACTAATAGAATTCTAAATGAGGATATGACAGTTAAAACTTCAATATGTTAAAAATGAAATGAGAATATGTTAATTTAATTTTCTGTGCTTCAAATGCAATGAGGAGGGTCATGTGGCCAGAAATTGTAGAGCTTTCCTCCGCCCTCAGGATAAGAAGGTGGATTTATCAGGTTCTACTACTTTGTGTAGTAATGCCAGAGTACTAGCTTCATTTGCTATCCTGACCATTTCTGAAGGTTCATCTTCTCTAGAACTTCTCAAGGCCAGATTGGGGTTAATTTTTCATTGGAAAGAATGGAGGGGTAAAGTTATTCCTATTAAGGATAAGACCTATCTGGTCGAATTTCCTTCTCTCTACCAGATGTTGGATGCTGTTGATAAGCAAGTTATTGATTTTGGTCTTTTCATCGAATTTCCTTCTCTCTACCAGATGTTGGATGCTGTTGATAAGCAAGTTATTGATTTTGGTCTTTTCAAAGGATGGCTGGCTCCATGGTCGGAAAATATTGGCATGAAGATTATAGACTCTGCTTTTTATCAATGGATTAAATTTTATAATCTGCCTTTTCATTTCTGGTCTTCGGATATTTTAAATCAAATTGTTGGTTCATTTGGTGAACTAGTAAGAATTTGCAAAAATCTGAAGGATAAAATTAATGGCCAAGATGTCCGAGTTTTAGTGAAGGTCAAAAGTTCAGATTGTATCCCTCGTTCTATTATCTGTTCATATGTGTCTCAAATTGATTCTTTCAATAGAGAAGTGCAGCTTTCTATCACTCCTATTGGAGTTGGGCAACTGGGATCTGAAGTTATAGGCAGACACTTAAACGCCATGGAAGCCCAAGGGGATGATGTGATTGAAACTCTATGGTCAGATCAGAATGTAGCAGAACAGAAGGATGTTTCTGACCATCTCAATTCAGAAGGAAAGAGTAATGTTAAAGGCAAGGAAGTTATTGAGCAGAATCTGAATTTGGCGAAGATTATGGAATCTCCTGTTATTCCTCCTCAGTCTAAGGAATTAATTCAAATTGAGAATATTGTGGATCTTCCTGTTCTTCCTCCTCCGTCTAAGGAATTATTTCAAATTCAAAATGTTGTTGATACGGTAGAGGAAAATCAGGAGATTCATAATAAAGAGAATATCAATAGTAACTCTGATTTGCTGCCGGATTCTCTGCAAGATTTCCCGTATGATCTAGTCAAACAAAATTGGAAGGGTCACACGGTCTATATTGAGAAATCCACTTGGGCAGCCTATTTGGGCGGGAAAGATGATTCATCAAATTCAAATTCTGCCACTTCTAAAGTGCCAAATTCAGTTCAGACTCCAGCCATTCAATCTTCTACTTCGGTTCCTCCAGGATTTGCTCGTCGGTCAGATGTGGGAATCTCCACCAGGACCGCCAAGAAAAAATCTTTCAGCTCTAAGCACAATGTCTTCATCAAGCAATCTTTAGCTGCTAAGAAGAAAATTCGGACCAATATCAAAGGTACCTCTATTCGAACTTCAGCTTCTTCTTCAGCTACGCCTATAAATTCTTTATCTAAAGATGTTATAGAGAACATAGCTTCTAATTGTGGTTCTTCTTCAGCTACGCCTATAAATTCTTTATCTAAAGATGTTATAGAGAACATAGCTTCTAATTGTGGTTTAGTTCTATCAGAACATTCCATAGATTCTCTAAAAGCTAAAGAAGTCAATGTTTGCCTTGATGCATAAATGATTGCATTCTCGTTAGTTGATGATGGTATGGTTATAATTTGTTTCTTATGAAGTTATCCACTTGGAATGTGCGTGGTTTAAATGATCCTGTTAAGAGACGTATGGTCAGAGACTTCTTAGCGAGTTCGGCTATAGATGTTATTGGTCTTCAAGAAAGTAAAATTTCTAAGCCTTCAGATAGAATACTAAAATCTATAGGTGGTAACAGGTTTTCTCAATGGTGTTGCTTAGATTCTTTGGAATCCAGGGGAGGAGTTCTTATAGGATGGACATATTCTTTCTCTTTACTCAAATCTTATATTGGGATTTTCTCTGTCACTGTTTCTCTTCTTCATAAGCAATCTAATTGGAGTTTTTCATTTACGTCAGTCTATGCTCCTAATGATAGGGAAGATAGGGAAGTTTGTTGGTGGGAGTTGAACTGGATTAGAACCTCTTTTAAAGGAGCATGGGTTCTTTGTGGTGACTTCAATGTTACTTTATATGTTGAAGAAAGAAATGGATCAAGTAATTCATATAGGGACTCTAACTCCTTTAGAGACCTCATCAACAAATTATGCCTTGTTGATCTTCCTTTATCAGGCAGATCTTTTACTTGGTCTAACAAGCGTGAATCTCCTTCTTTAGCAAGATTAGACAGATTTCTTATTTCCTCTGAATGGGATAGTAAATATCCTTCCTCTCTGTAATTTTCTCCTCCTGCCATGGGCTCTGATCACTCTCCTATTGTTCTTGATAGTCAAGGCATTCCTCCAAGTCCTCCAATTTTTAGATTTGAAAGAAGTTGGCTTCATAATCCTGATTTCATCCCTTATATTAGTAGCTGCTGGAACTCTTTTGTTTGCCAAGGAAACCCTGTTGATGTCTTCATATCAAAACTTAATCTTACCAAACGAAGAATTAAATGGTGGAAAAAGAATGTCCTTGGTTCTATCTCATCTAGGAAAGATGACCTTCTCTCTAAAATTAATTCTTTTGATCTTTTGGAAGAACAAAGACCTCTTTCTGAGTCTGAATTTAATGACAGAAAATCTCTCCAAATATCATTTTCTTCAATCATCCAAGAAGAAGAAATTTATTGGCACCAAAGATCTAGATTACAATGGTTAAAGGAGGGAGATGCTAACACAGCTTTTTTCCATAAGACTGCTACTTTTCACAGGAATGCAAACTTCATTGCATCCATCAATCATCAAGGGAA